ACAAAACTGTTTACCTGTTTGTCCAAAGATTATCATTTTCAAATCATATCAAATCAGGTCATTCTCACTTCACTGATTACTAGTTACTGACCACTAATTGCTTTTAATGACGTATTTCAAATGCCATTAAGGTACTAATCCCCTTTCAAATCCCACTGCAATAATAATTAAAAAAAAGAAAAGAAGAAAAAAGAAGAAGAAGAGGGATGAAGAGAATGGGAAAGGGGCAGGGGGAAAGGGGTGGACATAGGAGGAAATGGGAAATGGGGGAGAGGGAGGAGAAAACTGTATAATGAGTGAAGGGGGAAAGAAGGGAGAGAAGAGGGTGTGGGGAGGGGAGGGGAGAAATTGCAAGGAGAAAAGCAAGAAAATGTAAAGACAGTGAAAGAAAGAGAGAGAGAGAGGGAAAGACGAAAATGGACAAAGGAAGGAAGGAAGGAAGAGACAAAACACAACAAAGACAAAGAACATACAGCTGATAAACTCATCTATGCAATCACCTTTTTGTCAGCAACATGTCGTTTTCAGATCAGCAGAGATGTAGGATGTGTGCCCGTTACCAGTCTTTCTAAGAGGGTACATTCCCCCTGGGTAGAAAGCTGACTCCAGTGTGGAGCTACCTTTTCCAAGCACGCTTCTGGGAATTGGGCTTTGGGTAGAAAAAGAAATTACATACACTTTATCATCAGTATTTCTGTCAAGTAGAAATTAGAACTACCTAAAAATTGGTTACGTTTTTAAATGAAATTATAAGTGTTGGGAAATAATGGGTTCTTGAGTGTTCAGTCTTTGAAAATCTCCAAACAGGTTCTTGACCTGGTGCTGTCAGACAAAATCTGTATCATGCCAGTTGCAATGCAATGATCCCTGCTGCAGATAGTGGATGACAGTGTTCTGAGCTGTTGTACTGCAAAGAGAACCAACAGTCAAAGGTCAGCTGGAAGGCCTCCCAATAAAACAGTACAAACCACTGAACAGTCAGGCGCTAAGGAAAGACACAGGATATGTTTTTGACATTACTTTCACACACTATTGCATGCCAGATCATTTTTAGGGCCATGATTTTTTTATGTTGGCAGTTTCGCAAGCAGTTTGGAAATGTCTTCAGTCTCCAGAACTGCTGGACCAATGTGGTAGTGCTGAATGGGTACAAAACTGTGAAGGAAGCCCTGGTCAACAAATCAGAGGACTTTGCCGACCGCCCATACTTCCCAGGATATGAACATCTGGGCTATGGACATAAATCTGAAGGCAGGTCTTTTGCAAACATACATTTCCCACAGGCACTAGCACAAGGAGGACTGGCTAGACGATGTGTAGACAGAGGATT